TGGAAAAAAGAATATGTATTCTCCACCTGGACCTCCACATCCTCCTGACATCTTTGGGTCAACTGAAGTTGCAGGAGTGACTGACCAGTAGAGCTGAGAAGAGAGGGTGACCTGTAAAGAGACTCCAACCTGTTTATGCCCTTCAGTTAGCATTTCTAGAATAAAGAGTGGGTGGGAACCTGCCCAAGTAAAGTCCCGGACACTTTAACACTGACGCACAGGAAAGCCTCAAGTGGGAGGAGAAATGCAAATCCCCCACTGACTAGGACATCAGCGTCAGCGGCTTTGTCTTATGGGCTTTGTCCTATGACCTGAGGGGCGATTCTGACTTTGGACTTGAGCGCTGTCTGAGACCGGGGCTGAGAGCCAGGTAAGTAGAGCAGAGGACATCTTCTTGTGGCTTTGCTGGCAGAGGCTATTTCAGGAACTGCTTATTCAGGATGCCACCTGGGTTTTGCTCTTCCCTTGGTGTTTCGGCAGTTGGTTTATTTTAACCTGTTTGAAGATGGGTGATTTTTAAAAAGACAAGTCAGACTAGGCTACTCAAAGATGCTCTGTGGCACGACTCAGTGGGGCTCTCTAGATCAGGACTCTGAACAGTGGGTGGGACTACTGAGGCTGAGGGGGAGGTGTGTCTCTGCTACAGCTGGCTGTGAGCCCCTCTTCATTCTCTTAGCTAGAGGCTAGAGAGCGGTGGTGTCTGACAATAGCTGTGTACCTTGAAACCTAGCAGTGGCTAGAATAGTCAGTGATTGTGGCTTTCATGAGGGCTTGTGAAATTTTAAGGCAGGTCATGACGTTGCGCAAACTGGAGCAAAAGTGGTCGAAGTGGCTCCGGAGGGAGAAACTGTGGGACGAAAAGCACCTGAATGGGAACCTTCCACGTACAGACACTCAAAAAAAAAAAAAAAAAATACGGTTATTCCATTTTCAAAACAAATACTCTACTGTTTTCTTGGCATGGGGATGAATCCTTAGAGAGTGAAAGCAAAGAACTACTGAATAATTATAGAAGGCATTTCTAGAAGCTGCAACAGATAAGACTGCCCTTCCCTATTTCAACCTTGAGTTTAGATCTCTGGAAGTTGTACCTATATCCTAGGAGTGATTCAGCTCAAGTCAGGATATTTTCCCACTAATCAATAGAGAAAATGGATTTTCAGTGAAATCATAGCAAGACTTTACAATGGTAGCGATTGCAATGCCATTTCAACTCATGAGTTCCTTTGTCATTAATTGGCATACATTGAAAGGAATATAACAGGTTATGATCCTAGCAGCATATGGACAAATGTTCCAATCTTGTGTGTTCCAGCAGCTGTAAAGTCAACTGTGTGTGGTATCAGAAAACTGCAGGTAGTTTCTTAGGAACTGTACTTCCTGAGTATAAGTCACTGAACATACTCGCCCCAAAGACATTTTTCCATTTTTAAAAGAGGGGTAAGACTTACTATCTGTCTGCCCTGGTCAAAATAACATCAGTACTACTCTGCATTTAGCAACACCAATGGGTACTTGAAGTATGCCTAGAAATGTGTTGTGTCAAGACCCCATTGGTAGTGATAGGAAAAGGAAACATTTTCTTGGTTACTTTCTTTTAGCAAAACATTGGTGATAATTTTCTTCTCTACATTTAGATCAGGGAAAAGTTGTTCTCATATGGCTCCATATGAGACCTATCTTAGGATACTTTGTAGGCAAAAGGAAACCTTAACTTAGCTGTAAGATATGTTAAAATAATATGGTAAGTAATTACAAAGAAATTCTTTTCCTTGATTGGGATTGCTGACAGATATTAAAAATGTTGACATTCAAAAAAGTAAATACTGTAACTTCAAACTGAGGTCATGCTAATTTCCCTGAGTTAAGAAATATGTCTAATTTAGTTAGGGTGGGGTTAGATGGGGGAAACACACACTTTTGTTTTATAAAAGGCTGTCAAATAAGTACCAAGTGTGGTTTTTTCCCTTCCTTAAGCAACTTGAGGGTTTAACTACTGTCCAATGCACATCAGAAACAAATTTAAATTAAAGTAGGTGTAGAAGATTTACATAGCCATAGTGAATCATCACAGAGAAACAAAAATGTTTATTGGTTCAGCAATATAATTTATAACTCAAAGAATTAAAGTCCATAGAAATGCATATATGGTACTCTTCATAAAACTAAGAATTATTATTTTTAAAGATTTATCTATTCATACAAAACTGGGGTACAGGCCAGAGGTGTATGGACAGTGAGAGGATTCACCAGAGACAGAGTGACAAAAGTACACAGCTGAGGGGAGCAGCAGGCAAGACAGAAGAGGTCTGCCACACCATTTGGGTCACCTCCATGGTGGGGGATCGAACTCATACTGAAGTGGCTGCAGCTAGCTTTGTAATGCTGCACTTTAACCACCAGGGAGAGCCCAAACTAAGAATTAGTTGAGAAGTCTAGGAACTAACTTTAGAACCCAGATGAATATGAAATAAAGAGAAAAGGATCAGGCAGTTTCACATAGAAGAAGCTTTTATTGACTGCCTCATGTAGAAAGCACTCATAGAGCAGCAGATCATAAGAGACACAGGTTTCACCTGCTATCTGAAAGTAGATATTTTTCCTATGAAACTTTCCATAAGTGAAATGGAGTAAAACAAAGAAGCAACTGCCACTCACTTACAGTCAAACCTTCAATAATTTGTGTTTGTGGGTCATCTTCTATGTGGATTGTTTTCTATCCATGGTTCTCATTCACAAAGTCAACCATCTTGGATGTCAGTTGGGTGAATCTGCGAATGAGAAATCCACAGATACGGTTACATGCAGATATGTGTACATTATGTGCAGATTTTTAACTATGTGAAGGTTAATACCTTAACCCTGGTGTTGTTCAAGGGCCAGCTGTATATGGAAAAATTTCTACCAAATCATACCAAATAATACATAAAAACTAAAGTAAAAGCAGGCATGATATGGCACATATATAGTAGTTCTCCAGGAAGGAGCTGAGTGGTATCACATGCTGTTCTGGGGTCCACTGCCTTTAGAAATACTTGCTGCTAAAAACATGCAAAACACTGTAAAAAACTCAAATCTTTTCTGTCATAAAAGCAAACTTTGGATCTCGGGATCTTTTCCCATAAGCAAAAACAGATACTAAGGTAAGTCTTTTGTAAAAACAGAAGCTAAATGAAAACTTTCAAAAGTGGGGGACATCTGTATAGAAAATGTTAAAAGTGTGTTATTTACCTTTAAGAAGTTCGGTAAAGATGGAGCACTGGACAGGGAAGAGTAAGAATATAAATTTGGTGGGATGGGTGTGGTGTGAGGGGTGTTGGGTAGAAGAAAAAACTTCCTGGAGAAGGTGGAAAAACAATTCCTACTAGCAAAGGAAGTACTGGGTTTGAGGGAGAGAATACTGTCCCCTTCATTAGGGATGACCTTGGAAAAAACTGGAAGAATTGATTTATCTATGGGCTGCAAGGATATTGTTTTCTGTTTCTCTGGATGTATAAAAGCAGCATCATTTTTCTACAGTTACTTAATTAATGGACAATATTGTCTTTGCTTGGAATTTATGAAAATATGTACAGCAGTTATTAACAAAACACTTTTTAAAACTCAAGTTTTATCTTTTGTTTTATAGCATGTCTCAGTGGAATCAAGTCCAACAGTTAGAAATAAAATATTTGGAGCAAGTAGATCAATTCTATGATGACAACTTTCCTATGGAAATTCGACATCTGTTGGCCCAGTGGATTGAATGTCAAGACTGGTAGGACCAAACACCATTGTGTTTCCCCCTAGACATGACACAAATGCTGTGCCTTGCATATGGATTTATTCCATAGGCCACTTTTGATTCAATAGATGTATTCTTTTCAGGTAAAAAAAAATGTCTTTACCTGAAAAACATTATCATAATTGTCTTTTCTGTTCTCATGTATTATAAATGAAAACTTAATTGTTCCTAGTGCCTTGATTTTCTGTGGGCCAAAATCCAAACAATTTTCTATATACTTAAAAGCCAAGAAGTACAGCTGTAATTTATAACATCTATTAGCTCAATATAAATTTTTTCTTTAGTATATTTTACAAAAGTTCTTTTAAATGCAACCTTAAGTAATTAAAAAGTTTGCTTTAAACAGTCATCTAATTTTTGATTGTGGTAAAATATATATCACATTTTTTGATCATTTGTAAGAGAACAATTCAGTGGTATTAAGTATATTCACAGTTATATAATATACCACCACCATCACTCTGTAGAACTGCTTATTCTTCCCATGCTGAAACTCTGTGTCCGTTCAGTCATAACCTCTCATTCTCTCTGCATTAGCCCCTGGCAAACACTGGTCTATTTTCTGTCTCTATGAATTTTACTTTTCTAAATACTTCATATGTTTCATTGCACAGTCTTTTGTCTTTTGTGGCTAGTATTTCACTTAGCATAATTTTTTCAAGTTTTATTCATTTAACATGTACCAGAAGTTATTTTTTAAGACTGAATAATATTCTGTAGTACATATATAACACATTTTGTTCATCCAGTCGCCTGTCAATAGACATTTGAGGTGTTTCCATCTTTTGGCTGATGAAAATAAAACCACTGTGGACATTGCTGTACAAATGTCTGTTCAAAATCCTGCTTCTTGTTCTTGTGGGTATCTACCCAGAAGTGGAATCACTGTATGCAATTCTGTATTTAGACAATCTCCACCCTATTTTCAGAGCAGCTGTGGTGATGCTTCATTTCCACGAGCAACACACATGGGTCCCAACTTCTCCAGAAGTTGGGACCAACACTTGTTTTATTTTTGACAATAGTCATTCTAACAGAGTCAAGTGGTATCTCCTTGTGTTCTGATTTGTACTTCCTGGTGATCAATGATGTTGAGCAATTTCCCTGTGCTTAAATGGTTTAAATGATTTAAATGATTTCACCATAAAAGAACAGATTTTTCAGTCTAAAACTAGTATGGTAATAAATATAAAAAACATTTTCCTAAGTTGTCTTCTGCTACATACAACCCTTTTGTTTTGTAGGGAGGTGGCTTCTAACAATGAAACCATGGCAACAATTCTTCTTCAAAACTTGTTAATACAACTGGATGAACAGTTAGGTCGTGTTTCCAAAGAAAAAAACCTGCTCTTAATTCACAATCTAAAAAGAATTAGGAAAGTGCTTCAGGTGAGAATCATTCCACTTTTTCAAAATAATTAGATTTATGAGTTAAAAGTAGTAAAACAAAACAAAACAAAAATCAAGTATATACTCATGATGCTCAAGCCAAATTGAAAGAAAGTTATAAATTCTCTTAAATTTTGTGCTCAGTTGTAGTTTGGTACTATTTATTTTTCATGAACTTAAAACACATTGTAAATGGGAGGGTATATGTGATTTGCATCCACCTTGTTTACTAGCTATGATTAAATTTGGCAACATGAAGAAATATTTGAAAGATAATGGTTTTATGGTTTTGCCACAGTTTGAGGAACAATTTGGAGTATTGGTCTCATTCATAGGTGGAGGCATCACAGTTGTATGTATCTTTCTATTAAAGATTTGGTTTAAATCTCCTCTCCTTTGAGAGTATTCTGTAGCACACGCTAGTCCTTTACTCCAAAGATTCATCCAAACAAATCCCATATATATATATATTTTTTTTTTTAAGATTTATTTATTTATGCATACAAGAACTGGGGGACAGGCCAGAGGTGTGGGGGTGGTGAGAGGATTCGCCAGAGATAGAGTGAGGAGTGGAACAGGCAGATCTACTGAAAGACACTGTTGAGGGGAGCAGTGAGCGGGACAGGAGAGATCTGCTGGGCCATGTGGGTCACCTCCCTGGCCAGGGATTGAACTTGTGCTGCAGCGGCTGCAGATAGCTTCATGGTGCTGAGACTCAGCCCCTTGCACCACAAGCAGGGCCCCAGCGCTGAGAGTCTCTCTATTGTAATCCGCCTACTAACTTGCCAGACGTTTGACTCGGGTAGAAAAATAGACTGTTGCTAGCAAAATAGAATATTCAGCACAGACACCAAACTATCTCTTTTGGAAATAAGACATTTATCCTTGGTTTCTTTGGTTTTAGTGCTCTAATCAATAAGCCTAAAGCAAGGGCTGGCTTGTTGCTCCCATAAGCCAAAGGGGGTAGCTGTTTTGTATGGCCTGTGACCATACAAATAATAATAATTTTTTTGAGTGGTTGGAAAAGAATATAAATAACATAAATGAAAATATTTGACATAAAAATGTTATGGAATTCAAATTTCTGTATTTTAGTGGAGCACAGCCCTGCTGGCTCATTTCCATATTGACTCAGGCTGCTCACAGTGACAGATGGGAGTTATAACCCGAAACTTAAAATAAAAATGACTATAGGGGAATTGGCTGACCTCTGACCTAGAAGCCAAGGTCATTTGCTAGAGGGGCACAAATGTGTAAAATGGATGTTCCTTGGAAATTCCTGCTCTTGAAATGTGGCCTTGGGCAAGTCACTTAATCTTTCTGCTTCTAGTATCTTTTCATGTAAATTAGGATGCTTATTAACCACTGTTTGGGACTGTGAGGAAGACTAGAGCTTTCATTCTGGCAGTGAAATAGGTTTTCAATAAAAGGTTGTAGGTATTAATAGGGAAAATATCAAGATCTGAGTTCCATCCAGAGTGAATTGCAGCCCATCTGTCTGGGTGGGGATATGACTGAGAAGTCGCTGCACCTCTCAGTCATATTTCCACTCAAGCCAAGCCTCTTCTGCTTGTGTCGCTTGCCCTCTAGACCTTGCCTCTTTAGACCTTTGCCAACACACTGCCTGAGCGCCTCAACATGCCAGTCCCAGAGAAATAGATCTACTTTGTGTTCCCAGCACACCAAGCTCGCTCTAGAAGGGCTCTGAGGTTTTGCTGGCCATGGTGAAGAAAGCCGTGCCCTTCCTCCGATTCAGCTCTACTCTCCCTAGAAGACCTGCGGAGGGCCCAGGGCAACAAACAAACATTGTGGGGAGCCTTAGCACTCTCTCCTCCCACACTGCACTGGCTGCAAGATAAACAGCATCTTACTGTGCCCCTCTCAAGCTGGAAGTGTCTAAACAGGCCACAGACTCTTTGAGGGTAAAAGCCTGACCTCCTTCTGAGACCTGCCCCTCCCTCCAGTAGCCTGTAGGTTCTGCAAACCAGAAACAAAAAAGCAGCTTGGTGGGTTGATTTTGTGAACTGACAAAAAGCACTTGCTGTTTCCTCCTTGTGCTGCGGAATATTTCATTTTATAAACTTACTTCAGTAGACTTCCTGGGTATTTGTGTTAATTCAGATTATAGTAGAAAATAGTAAGAACGTCATCATCACAGGTTTTACACCTAAACAAAGCTGCATTTTGTTTAATCATAACCTCTCATATTCCCGCTATTTTTTCAAAGACAAGTCTTTTTGATAAAGCAATTTTCTCCCTCCCATCAAGAAGAAAAATGGAAAAAAAACCTGTCAAATGACTATTTGGTTTCCTTCTCTGGTTTGAGTATTTTCATCCTCAATAATTTTAATTTTAAATATAATCAATTTAAACTATTATAGCAAGAAAAAACATACTACTGAGAGAACAAAAAGTTATAGGTAAATTTATTTCAGTTCTTGATGGAATAATGGATCTTCACTTTCAATATTGTAGTTCATTATTTCTATTCGTACTTGGGACGATTTTCAATTAAATGAAACAAAACTACTTAACCAAGAGTGAAGCCAGGTTGTGAGGTGAAGCAGAGAACAGCACCTCACACTCACCTTGAGGGGAGGCAGCCTCAGGTCAAACCCAGGGAGGATTGTGTCTACTTGGATCCTTGATCTGTGTGGCTTGGGGCAAAATATTTATACTTTCTGGTCTTACACTAGTACTTGCCCTAGAGGGATGTCAAGAGCATTTAAAAAATTGCAAAGCATATGGCAAGGGCTATGTTAGAGTTTACTAAAGATAAACAGCTGCTATTGGATCTTTTCTCACCGAAGGCTTAAATTTTATGGCAGTTTTATAAAGGTTTACAGAAACTACATAAGGTTCTCATATATACCTTTTTATTCTCTCCCTAGTTTCTCCTGTATTGATGTATTAACAGTATATCTGCTGCTGTTGTGCTACATTATTTTAACTTGAAGTCCAAGGTTACATTAGGATTCATGCACCATGTTGCATCGTCCTGTGGAATTTGGCAAATCCATAACCATTTCAGTTTTACTGCCCTAAAAGTCTCTCTGCTCTACCAGTTCATCTATCCTTCGCCACATCCCTGACAACCACTGACCTTTTTTTTTATTATTGTTTTTATAGTTTTGCCTTTTCCATATAGTTGTAGTCATACAGTATGTAGCCTTTTCAGTTTGTTTCTTTTGCCTAGTAATGGTCTTTGTCTCCCCCATGTTTCTCTGTAACTTAGTAGGTTCAGTACTTTTTATTGTGGTATGATTTTACCTTAAATCTGCTCATACAGTTTTGACAATTACAAATAAAGCTGACATTTACATTCATGTACAGGTGTTTGTGTGGGCATGAGTTTTCTACCCATTTGGGTAGATACCTATGAGGCTAATTGCTAGATTCTTAAGCTTGAACTTTCTACTGCATACATCTTTTCCTTACTCCTCTTCTTTTCTGTCTTGGTCTGTTCAAGTTGCTATAAACAAAAATAGAATTCATCAGCTTATAAACAGCAGATATTTTTCCCTGACAGTTCAAGACATTTGCAAGTTCAGTGATTTGGCTTACTGGTTCATAGATGTTCACAGAACCTCTCATGCATAAGAAGGTAGGGTGTTACTATTCCTAATACAATCATACTAGGGGTTAAGATTTCAACGTGTGAATTTGGAGGGACAAAATCATTTACTCTATAACAACCTTCCTCTTTATCCCTCAAGTGGAATGACTTATAAAACACTACATATTCATACTGATTTATAATAAAACATTGAAGAAAAATGCAAAGAAAATAAAAACAATGCAGAATCTACTGTCTTTATATCATCATATTAATAATTGATGAATGTTACTCAGACAATTCTTAGTACACACATCTGCAGATATAAGGCAGAGTAAAACTGCAGTGTCCACTATAGTTTTCTCTAAATGTATGCATGCAGTTGGAAGGCAGGATTATATTTGCCTCTTTCCTAAAATCTGCCATTAGAATGTAATCACAAAAGAAGGGGTTTTGGTTCATTTACTGCTACCCCCAGTGCCTGCAGTGTGCCTAGATACATCATAGAGGCTTAAAAAATAAATTTAGAATTAGTAAATAACTGCATAAAAATACCTGGATCACAAATGGAATCATACTGTACATCCTTTTTAAGCAAAAATTTACATTTTATTTGAATTTTGTTTAAAGATCAAACTTGGAAAAATCCAGTGTTTGCTCACTCAAGACATATTACTGACAACAGAAACCCTACTTAAGTAAATGAAAAACTATGAAAATCATTGAGAGGGAATAAATTTAGCATTTACTACCACATACAAAAGGAAGTAGGTGCCAGCCTAGGACCTAAAAGGGAACTCATGGCCACAGCATGCCATGAGTGGAGAATTCACTCTTTCATGTCATCTTGCCTCACTGTAGTTCCAGTCTGTCACACATAACACATTTATTTCCCCAAATCCCCAGCACATATTAAAATCGGATTTTCTCTGACATAATTAGCTGATGCCAGTATTACAACACTCAACTTTGCAGGCTAAGAGACTGACCTGCATTTCATGTCATTTAAGATGAAATGTGAATTAGTTGTGAAGTTTTTTGCTTGTTGAATAATTTGGGGTAGCCAACAGAAGGTGGATGGTGCATCACAATTCCTTATTTCATGCACATAACACTAAAATGGAATCCAGTGTGATCCACTCAAAATCCCAGCCACTGAAATTTCAGTCATGAAAACTTTGTGCCAGTCCCTCTAAGCTTGCTTACCCTAGCCTGAATGACTGCTCTCCCTCGTCATTAACTCTTCTCTAACACTTTATTATTTGAGACTATAATGATTTGTCATTCCCTTAAATTCTAATTCTCCTTGAAGTTCATGCCTGGAGCTACTTAGATCATTAATAACTGTGTATAGTGACACTTTTTTTATTCCAATGGTAGTTTGGATTTCTTAAAGTGGGGCTTGCAGAATTTGCTTTGGTGGGGGGTGGGAACTGACTCCAGA